AAGGTGCCGGACTCGAGCACAGAGTCGATCGTGTCCAGGATCTCTTGTTTCCTCTGCTCTTTGATCTCAAGGACGAGCCGTTCCAAGTTGAACGTTACGCCCAAGATCACGGGGGCCACAGAGAGCTGCAGCTTCTTTTCGTCGAAGAGCGCCCCCAAGATGAAGTGAACGGTTTCTGCGGCGAGCTTCGCCGAGGGGGCCGTGATCGCCGTCTCGAACCCGTACTTGTCGTCGTAGAAATTGAAAGCCACCATTTCAAAGATCTTGACCAAAACGTCATTGATGAAAGCCGATCGGCGATTGTAGTTGTAGACCGCGGCCACCAGACCAAAGGAGTGACCGATCATGACGAAGTACTTGGGGATCCCATCTTCAGGATCCTTCAAGCAGATCACGCTGAACTTTCGGTGATCCGGCCGAATCGGAAGCTGACGATAGGCTTTCCTTTCGTCAAGAACCCATCCAGCCAGGGCGCGATCGCCGCCTCGCGTCCGCAACTCCCTGAGAACGGCGACGTTGAGGTCGGTCGAGACGAGCTGAAGCTTCTCGGCGATCACCGCCGTCCTGTTGATCAAGTTGGAGGTGGCACTATCGCAGCCTCGAACTTTGTTCTTCTGAACCACTTCGAAGCGCTGAGTCGGGATCCAATCCGAGCAGCCTAAAAACTCGGATACCTCATCTTCAGAGCCGAAAGGCCCCACAGTCGAGCCCTCGAGAACGTCCTCCATCGTAGCTTTCCACAACGACCTGAGATTGTCCGAGACTGGAACAGCATTACAACGACGGAAAATTTTCGATCGAAACTCCCAGGCCCGATTGAGAGCTTCCTGCACTGGCACGGTCTGTTGCGGCTTGGCGAACGGGGGCCAGCGACCAGAGCGCTGTATATCCCCCACGATCGGGAAGCCATCGCGAATACCCTCGAGCAGCAGGGGATCTGGCGAGCCGATGGCCTTGGAGAACTCCTCGTAGAGCTTGACATGAGTGCAGGAGCCCAGTTGCAGATCCACATAGTCGGGAACACCACGAAGGAGACGGCGTAGCGCGGGATCCGGGATACGCCGAAGTTCGCGATCTGTGTCTGGCAGAAGTTCCCGCGCTCGATGCTGCCAGAAAGCAAGACAAGCACATCGACGTTTTTGAAGATCGTCCGGTTCGCTGACGATCGTCTTGATGTTGCTCAGGATGTCGTTTGGCAGAACTGGCCGCACTGTGAAAGGGTGAGCTGTATGAAGAGCCCACTGGATCGCGACCCCTGGCTCGCATTCCACATCGAGCAGCGGCTTAGCGGCTCCGCGTTTGAGCTGGTACCCACTTGAGCAAGCAAGACGAGCAGCTTGTTCCTGACGATGACCTTTCCAAACGACCTCGTCACCGAGCCGACGCTTGCGATCAGATTTAGGGGCAACCAGCTCGAACGAAGGCTGAAACTGCGGGAAGATGCCGAAGACGATGGAGTGCGTGACCTCCGCGAACTGATGGCAGAGCTGCGTGGGGTACTCCTGAGCGACCTTGGTCAAGAACACAACTTCGTTGGATGCCGAGCGAACTCGACCTTTGAGAGGCACGTGTGTGTGACCACCATCGCAAGTTCGAGCCAAAGTCAAGAGGCGAGCGTCGCTGACCAGAAAGCGAGTAGGCTTGCGGAAAATCGAGCCAAACTGACATTGATCAAGATCCACATTATACAGGTGCAACTTGAGTTTGAGTTGTTGAACTTGAGGAACTTGCCACATCAAACTCGATCTTGGATTCTCGAGAGTTGCATCCCCACCTGCCTGGACCACAGCCACGAACAGCTCGAGAGAGCGGAAGAGAAGCTCATTAGCGAGCGTAAGCTGCCACTGAGCTGCTTGAGAACTCTTCACCAAACCAAGTGGCTGAGCTTGCGAGCGCAGCGGCGGTGGAC